TCCCAAACACCCACATTACAATCGGCATCCGCTCCCCATCCAAATACACCCACCTCCAATCTCCCAACATCTCCCTCACAGCCATCGACCTCTCCTCACCCTCTCCCTCACTCGCCAAAATATTCTCCGCATACGACATCCTCATCTCCGCCACGGGCTTCGGTGCTGACCCCAGTAGCGTTCTCAAGCTCGCCGAGGAAGCCCTGTTAGCTGGCAAGATCAGGAAAGAACAGGGGAAAGGGAAATTCTGGTTCTTTCCCTGGCAGTGGGGTGTTGATTACGATGTCATTGGTGATGGAGAGGGGATGATGCCGTTGTTTGGTGCGCAGCGCGATGTGAGGAATTTGTTGAGGGAGAAGGCGGATGAGAGTAATGTCAAGTGGACGGTTGTCAGCACGGGGATTTTTATGTCTTTTCTTTTCGAGCAGTTTTGGGGAATCGTAGATAGGAGTAAAGAGGAAGAAGGGAAAGTGGTGGTGAGGTGTTTGAAAGACTGGGATCACAAGGTTACTGTGACGGATGTGAATGATATCGGACGGGTGTTGGCAAGGATCATAGCGGGGGATGTGGAGGCTGAGGACCGTGTATTGTACATCGCGGGCGATACAATCAGTTATGGGCAACTGGTTGACATCGTCAAGCGGGTGAGCGGGAAGCAGGTTGAGCAAGAGACGTGGAGTCTTGAGCATTTGAAGAAGGAGCTTGACTTGGCGCCGGAAGATGGCATCAAGAAGTACAGGCTGGTATTCGCCAGGGATGGTGTGTGGTGGGAGATGGGCAAGACGGTGAATAAGGCTTTGGGCATGGACGTGATGGATGTTGAGACGTTTACTAGAAGTTTGTTCAGTAGATAGAAGGTGGTCGGCGACTGAAAGCAATGAGTGAGTTTCGATAGATTTCGTAAACCGCGTTACGTGTGATTACTAATAAACTTTTTGACAAGTAATACTACACGAGCGTGAGCCGAAAGCATCGCGACAGCCTGGGGATGGGTCGTACTTGTTCCCATGTGCCTTCGCAGCCGTCTCACTGCTCTCGCTTCCCCTAGCGTATGGTCCCAGCCTGCGCTATACCCTCTTGATCCGTGTCGGGACTATAGCGTTCGCGCCTGTAGCTGCTCCACCTCCTTCTCGTCCGCCATCCCTCATGGAAACTCCGGGTATATACTCATCGTTCTGCCTCTTCCTCTTCATGCCCGCCTCAAGGGCCTCAGCTGCGTAGTTGTCGTGACCAAAGGCAGGTATCAATCCTCCATGTGCACCAGGTCGCTCCTAACGTCCTGGTGGTCCAGGGGGGTATCTGCCAGGAGGTCCGCCAGGGGGCATTCCCATACCGCCTGGGGGTGGATAAGGCATTCCTCCAGGGGGTGAGCCTGCCTGTCCTGGTGGTGGAAATGGAAAAGGCGGCATTCCTTGGGGTGGGCCGCCTCCCATGTGTGGTGGTGGGAAGGGTGGCATACCACCAGGGCCCGGGGGCATACCGTTTGGCGGAGGGAAGGGTGGCATTCCGTTGGGTGGCATTGGAGCTGTCGCGCTGTCAGTAAAGGATCGTGTGTGGTAGCTATGCGGCAACTTACGACCTCCACGGCCCATGAAGTTTGGAGGCATTCCACCCATGGGCGGCATTCCTGGCGGCGGGAATCCAGGCATACCCATCGGTGGCATTCCCATTGGGGGCATCCCGCCCATAGGTCCTCCAGGGAAGCCACCGGCCAGGTTCTGTTGGAACAGCGGGTTGGCTTGGCCTTCTGTGTTGTATGCGTCGGTAATACTATTGATGACTTGCTGTGTCTGGTCGCTCGATATCTGCTCGTAGTAGGCCTGGACGTTGCGGAGGTGATTGCGGCCGTTGTTGTGCGCCTTCCGCACGCTCATACTGTCGTGGGTGAGGTAGACATCGCAGTAGTCGCAGAAGAACTTCGGCATCTTGTACTAAGTGTTCGTCTGGGCGTAGAAATGAGAGATTGGGATTGATGAAGTTGGTAGCGAAGTTGCGCGTGGAGTACGGAGCGCGTCGCAAGAGCTAGAACTGGAAGAATCCCGTCGGCGATACTTGCGCCGATGGTCTTGGCAAGCCTCGTCGCCCTTTCACGTGTTCCGTCCCAAAGTCCACACCTTCCACATCACGCATCACTAACCACGCCATCTCGCATTGATGCTGACGAATCGCAATTCGAATTGGGCTCTTTACATAAACGCGATACCCATACACGAGATCGCCCTCCACACACGTAGGCTACCAACGTGGTCCTTTTGCATCAATCATGATTTCCTGAGGGGCGCGTCCAACACGATCTCATCGAGTGTTCTATCATCGTCCTATCATTGAGGATCATGAGCCGACACCTCAATCTCCACTCTCATAGCATCCTCGCCCAGTTTGACAACGCCAACACACGTCCAGATTGGCTGATGATCCGGCATCCATTTCTTGAAATTCCGCACCATAGCTCCCAACGCCTCATTGTCCATAGGGATGTGGTAAGAGTTTACGCGGAACACTTGCGACCAACCCTTCCCACCAGCGGTCTTCAGAGCAAGTTCCACATTCTGGAAAGCTTGGTCGATCTGAGCGTCGATGTCTGCGGGTATGAGTCTGGTCATGGGATCCCATCCACCTTCAGTCGCAGTCATCAGTTTGTGGAGCTCAAAAAAGTCATGGGTATAAATTACCTTGGCCTGCACACTCGATGCGGTCGCCGATACGAACAGACTGGCTGTATCTGGTGTTCTCTCTGGCTGACTCGCCCTTGCCGGGGTATGCGTAATACTGGAGGTGCGACATGTTTTTGCGGCTATGTGTGTATAGAGTCAATCTTTGGAGATTTCGCACGTATCGTGACATTGTGGTACCACAGCATTTATAGGTACCAAACATTGGCATATGACGCATATACTAATCCTGTACAGTCCGGCTGACCAAGCTCGCAGGGAAGCTATCGTTAGCTGCTTGGGTGGGCTCGCGGCTCCTTCTCCGCTGTTCCGCTATGTCACCGCGTCCGCTGCGCCATGGACAACACCACTCAGCCATATATGATACAGTAGTTCGCGATATGGATAACTGATCTGATACGCGTTGTTCGACTTGATTGACCTCCGGGATGGAATCAATAATATCAACAGCTGTTTCAATAGAGCAGGATGCCATGCGCTCGATGCGGCGCGCATCTAACCCGCTACCTATACATTGTCGTAAGCCTTTCCGCACACCCGCTGCGAGCTGTCAGTACCACACATTGCAAAAGACAGAACTGACATACCAGACGTCGCTCTGAGAAGTCCCTACGAAGCTCCAACCACACGTCCCGGTCCGTACAATCCAACTCGCCTTCTGACACCGATGTGCATGACGGTTGTTGTCTTGCGACCTGATCCTCTGTCGCGTTCAACCACGGTTTTGGCAGCGGCCAGTCTGAAAAGTGGACGAACTTGGCTTCTTTCACCGCGTCCCTTGCGTTCCAACTCTCCGTCGGCGAACCGAGGTAGGCCTCATGCTGATCAATCTGGTGGCGAAATTCACCGGTCAAAAGATCGTATCTACGATGCGGTATCACTAGAGTTGAGGCACCGAACACCTTGTTCAAGATGTCCATATCGTAGTCGTGACCCTCGTGGTGTTCCATTGCGCTTTGCACCCGCTGCCAGCTATCCTCCGATGGCTCGATGACTATGAGTTGGGACGACAGGAAGAATTGTTCAAGCCAGTATGCGCGAGGCATGGCAACTGGAGCCGTGGGAAGGAGGAAAAGCTCGTCCATATGCTACTGATCGTCAACACCGGTCATTGCAGCAAGCGACAGCTTCGCTTGTCGACGGGGATAGGCACGTACATTCAAGAGCGTCGCGTCCGAGTCTAAGGAAATGACGCGCTTGTACTGAGTCTGATTCCATGCTAACAGTTTCGTGTAGCTGTCTTGCCACGTCGCATCCTTCTCATTGACATACGTCCTTACTTGGATAGGGTTCAGCTTTGCGTGATACTGGTCCCGAGCTTGAGCAAGCAGCTTGCCTTCATAGTCGGTTGGAGGTGCGTCGTCATCGAGTACGTCTTTGGGCACCTTCCACTTCTGTGGATACAACATGAGAAGGTCGGCTCTCGTCCCATGTCGTCTGAGCGCCTCAAAGATCATGAGAGAGTTGCAGAGGTAGTTCGAGTTTGTTACATACTGTACGTATGCGAAGTCTGACCAAACGATGCTCTTGTCTGTGATTGGCATCGAGCACTGCAATGACTCCGTTGAGTAAGGAGGGTTGTGTTTGGTGAATTGTCGGAATTGGGTTGGAAGTCGAGCAACATGCTCATCGTACCTTACTAAGACACCCGCCAGCAGCAGAAAGGCTCCAACCATGAAAAGAATGCGTAGCCTGCGTGCCGAAAGCGCATATTGGAAACGTACGGAGAGCGGTATATGCGACCCTCGACCATGGCATGGAAAGGAGGGCAGAACGGAAGAGTTCGAAGACATGCGTAATGTACAGACGATCCTTGAGCGTTGAGAAGTAAACACAAGAACTGAGAGTGCGTGGCATGGAGCGTCGCTGGATGCTTGCAGATGTAAGTCGTGGCCACTTCTCACTCCCTCGAGAAGACACTGCGGACGAGATTACTTGCAGCAAGGCACACTCCAAGACGAAGGCTGACTACATGCTTTCGGGGAATGACCGCATGACGACAACGAGAAGGTTACATTGTCGGCGGAGTACATCCTGTGCGAGGCACAATGCCAATGTTATAGTGCTTCAGGACCGATGTATGCACAAAGAACAGCATCTTCGACCAATCGTGCAGACTTCGGGCCCCGCCCGTGACTTCATTCGAAACGCCATGTAGGTCGTTATCCGTTCCAACCTACATGGATCGGAAGCCTCGTGTCACCCACGAGTGGGGTAACCTCTACACACTGGCTCACACTGACTATGTATAGCATGCCATGACTGGTCGTCAGATATCCTGTTACGACTTATCGCACTGTTCTCGATTCTACAGTCGCATGCTGCCCGATGTCTTCACGATCTTTCCTCCAGATAGGGGTCGCTTTCCTAGTCTTCTTCACAGTTCGCTCGACTGCGCAGCGCCACCTCGACGTACCATGGAGTGACAAGAAATATGGCCCCGATGGGCCATGGCAGGCCGTGCGAGTAACTTTCGGAGGCAACGACACCAATCTGAAAATAGGAGGTCAGAACCATGCCGACGTCGACGTCTATCCGGGAGGGACGTTTGAGAGTTTCGTCTTTAGCCGATCCGCTTGCGATCCTTTCCCGGACAGTGCCTGTGGGGAAGGAGGAACGTGGGAGCCCGAAGCCGGTGCAACAAGCTTCATACCAGCGAATGGTTGGCATCCTACTGTCAAGTTCCCATCATTCGGCCTAGTAGCAGGCCCCGCGAACTACACGGACCGAGCATTGACCATTGGCGGCGCGACTGTCTGGAACGCCTCAATCATGCATACAAATTCGGGCAATATCACGGCATTCGACGGCAAGACTTCAGGGTTGAGGCTTGGCTACCTAGGCCTTGGGGCTGCAGAGCAAGTACAAACCTTCTCGGTGAGCGACAGTGTGGCGGGACACGATGTCTCGCTCAACGTTTACAACGGAAAGCTATACAAGGATGGCATCATCGGTTCATACTCATATCTACTACATATTGGATCCGCGGCGTTCGACTACCCTGGCTCGCTGGTGTTCGGCGGTTACAACAAAGGTCGCGTTATAGGTCCGCCAACGTCATTTCGGGACCAGGATAAAGTTGACCTCCTTGACATTGGCATCGGGGTTGAGTATGGCGAATCACCCTTCGAAGTGGACAGCATCAGTAATCTGCTTGTCGCCGACACTGGTGAGACCGGCAAGGCCCAACAAGTCATCATCGACCCTCGTAATCCGTACCTCTCACTGCCGGACAACACGTGCGAAGGTCTTGCCAAAGTGCTTCCAATCAAGTACGACCCAACGACGAAATACTTTCTCTGGAAGACGGACGACCCAAACTACACCAAGATCGTCACTTCTCCCGCATACCTCAGCTTTACCTTCCCTCCTGGCTCTGGAGCTAGCCTCAACGTCACGATCAAAGTCCCCTTCGCACTACTCAACCTCACACTTGACACCCCTATCGTCGAGAAGCCAACACCCTACTTCCCCTGCCACTCTTACACGCCTACCAACGACGAAGACCGCTATAGACTAGGCCGTGCATTCCTCCAAGCAGCATACGTTGGTCGCAACTGGGCTTCGCAGATCACATGGCTTGGTCAAGCTCCTGGACCAGGCTTCAACGGTCAGGGCCTAGGCGATCAACTCACAGACATTGCCGACGGGGCGACGACTCTGGACTACTGGGATAGCGAGAAGACGAACTACTTCAATCAGAGCTGGGCGGGACATTGGAGTGTCGTTGAGAGTGTGAAGCCAAACTCACCCAACGACACCGATGTCAACACAACAGGGAGTCATACCAGATCTGAGCAAGAGCTGTCAACGGCCGCCAAAGCAGGTATCGGGATCGGCGCTGCACTTGGCGGTATAGCTATCATCGCCGTTATCCTCTTCCTATGTTTCCGACGCAAACACAACCGTAAAGTCGTTCCGGATGATGGTCTTCCCACACCGCAACAACACGCATATGGCTCGCCAATGTCGCCAATGTCGGCGTTGTCACCAATGCCAGCGCAATATGGTCAGCCAGAGAAAAAGAACAATGAGTTCTATTCGGGTACTCAGGAGATGTACACGGCTCCGGTGGCTCAGGAGTTGCCTGATTCGAACGACGTGCGACACAATTGATTGGTGCAAGATCTACGTTGGTGTTCGGTTCAGTACGGTTGGAAGGTGTATCGTCTTGCGAAACAGTGTACAAGTATGTGTGGCTTCGAGAACTCTCCTTTCTGTGTGCTAACGATGATTGATCAGGTGCTGTGTTTTCGAGTTCAGAGGCGTTGGCAACATCATTCATAGCGTTCGAATGCGCAACGTCGGCGATTGACAACTTTGACTTTAAGCACGATGACGCAGTTCATATTAAGTAGCGGGGGATTGAACTCGGTGTCATGCGGGGTACTGCTTTGAGATAGATTCTATGCCTGTCAGAATGTAATGATTACAACTCATGCCTTCCATCACCACTGGCAAACACGCGAGCCTGCTTCAACACAAGATTCTGAGCGACTGAAGAGATATAGACCTCACCCTCTTTTTCAACAGAACTAATGAATATCAACGAAAGATTTTGGCTGGCATATCCGCGCTGAGCGGTTGGGTATAGCTCTCGTGCGATGTGCCCGTCTGCAGGCTAGTGCGAGAAGGGACTCAAGCAGCGAGAGATGCCTGTCGTGCGATAATGCACGACAAAACATGCTTACGCCCAGCAATGCAATGGGCAAGACATATATGATGCGTCGCGAGACGAGATGCGCATCGCACAGTATTCACCTCCCTTCAGTGTATTCCGTCGTAGAATGGCGGGTAGCGTTGACGATGGCGGGGCCAGCCCCGCTCTGAACACTTACAACAGCCTCATCGCGATTGGCGTACCAACCGCACTACTGCTGACATACCTAACCCGCGTCGCACTGCAATGGTACCGTCTATCGCACATTCCCGGCCCTTTCTGGGCATCAATCTCCACCTACTGGATCATATCGAAATCGCTCAGAGGGCAACTGCCTTTCGCGACGAAAGAACTAACCGACAAATATGGCCCGCTGGTACGCGTCAGTCCAACCGATCTGGTCACCAGCGATCCAGACATTGTGCGCAGAACAACGGCAGTGCGGTCTGAATACACGCGAGGGCCATGGTACGATGCGATGAAGCTGGAGCCTGGACGCGACAATCTCTTTTCGATGCGCGACGAGGTGGCGCATCTGAAGTTGAGGAATAAGATGGCTCCTGGGTATTCTGGAAAGGAGAATGAGTCTATGGAAGGTACTGTTGATGAACAGGTTGCTGCGTTTATCGATTTGATCGAGAGGAAGTATATCTCGACCGCGACCGAATACCGGCCCATGGATTTAGCGCTCAAAACGCAGTACTTCACCTTGGACGTCATCAGTGCACTGGCATTCGGGAAACCGATGGGGTATCTAAAGCAAGACGTCGATCTCCACGATTACATCAAGATCACCACGACTTACGTTCCCGTCATGATGGCGCTTTCGTACGTGCCTTGGCTGGCGAACCTGTTACATTCGCGGCTGTTGAGAGGTGTGCTTCCCAAAGAGAGCGACAGGCTCGGATTCGGGGCCTTCATCAACGTTGCAAGGAAGGCGGTCGCGGAGCGGTTTGCATCCGAGGATTCCAAGCCCAAGTCCGATATGCTCGGATCTTTTATTCGTCATGGTCTTACGCCGGAAGAAGCATCGAGCGAGGCGCTCCTGCAGATTATCGCTGGTAGCGATACTTCGGCGTCTACGATTCGCGCTGTAATGCTGCATACGCTGGCCAATGCATCTTCTTATAGAAGACTACAAGCGGAGATCGATGACAGTATTGCTGCTGGGACGATTTCCTCGCCTATTACGGATGCTGAGGCGCGACAACTACCGTATCTTCAGGCCACTATCAAAGAGGGCTTGCGCATTCTGCCTCCAGCGAGTGGGTCGAACTTCAAAGCCGTTCCTGCAGGCGGTGATATCCTTGCCGGCAAATTCATTCCTGCAGGCACGCAGATTGGGTCTTCCTATCTTAGCATCCAGCACTCTACAGATATCTTCGGTCCAGATGCTGAGCTCTTCAGGCCAGAACGTTGGCTGGACGCTTCGGAAGATCCTGCACGTCTTGCGCACATGGCCAGTACCGTGGACCTAGTCTTCCACTACGGGAAATACAAGTGCTTGGGCCAGAACGTCGCGTTGATGGAATTCAACAAAGTGTTTGTCGAGCTACTGAGGCGGTTCGATTTCTCGATCGTACATCCGCACGAAGCGGCGAAGATATACAACGCCGGGATGTGGATTATGGAGGACTTTTCAGTTAGGGTCACACGGCGTGTAGTCTGATTAAGACATGACCAGGGCTGAGTGAGATGCGCTTCCCATTACCGTAGTGCTGATGCACTTGTTAGGTCTTACGGCGGGTTGCGGCAGATGTCGACATAGCGGAAGGGAGGGAACCGACATGTCACCGAAAGTATCGGAAGCAAGGTTCATGTCATCAATTTCGGCCTCCGGGTAAACCATGTCTTGTATTGACGCACTCAAACCCCAACGTCCGAACAAATTGAACAATGTATAGTCTGTCGTGTAACTTGACAGTTTAAGTAAATGCGACGAGTCTTGCGACTGTAAGACGTAATGAAATCGACCACTACAGGCTCAATGCGCACCTCATAGATGATGACGACTCCATATCGAGACAATGCGTCGCATACCGAAACTGCGGAGTTCAGCGTGGCAGGAACAGGCCCATGTTGAAGGATATCGAGAAGCATGCGCCGCAGTATATACTCGGCTTCCCAAACCCAGCATCACTGCGCCAACCAAAACCGCTGATCGAAGCGTGGCAAACGGAAAAAAGAAGGCCTGCGCGAACAAGCATGTACAGTTCTCGGCTTCCCAGACCTAGATCGCGGAAACCGCTGATCTCCGCGCGGCGGCAATATTGTTCTGTTGGAGTTGTAAGGAAGTACTCGGTTTCCAAAACACCATCTGGGTCGACTACGAATGCTTGCGAGGCGTAGCGCGGGTTACATTGCTGATGAGAGCACAAAAGCATCATATGCTCGATTTGCCACGTGCACGCATCGCGAGCGGTACCAGTACCGGTGTTCTCCAACCCAGCCGTGTGACTTTCCGCGTTGGGGGCCGCTGCCGCTGGTAGAGACGCTGGTAGCGGTAGGCTCTAGTGGGTTGTGTGTAACCGAACAACCGTCCCATGAGGCTGAGACACGCCCTATAGTAGCGCGAACATGCGTTCTACACATAGATTGAACGTTTTTCTTCTTTGCTCATGTGGCCCATGCCCGTTGCGGCATTGCTTGGGGCTTTGCACTGGTGAGTTGTCTGGCGGTGAAGAAGTATCGCGGCACGCCGGGCTCGCCGTTTTCGATTTGCTAAAAAGAACCTTACACGAGATGGTTTTTTTCGCACGCCTCGCAGGTACTAAGCTCAGCCTTCTTCAGCCCTCGAGCAGTAGTGTTATTGTTTTTCTCGTGTCGGCGCTGGCTAGCGCTGAGTAGCCGGCGGGGTAGACCGTATTCCTCCTTCGCCCTCGCGCACTTTCCAACATCATCACCATGCTGCCTTCGTACTGTGGAATTGGACCTCGTACGACGAGGCATTGGGGCGTCACGATGGAAGTGGAGCTCGCCACTCGAAATAGACGGCCGATAAGCCTGTGCGCGAGGAGATTGCGATGGGGAGTTTGCGTGATAAGGCGATAGTGGATTGTTCGGGATGCTTTGTGCGAGGTTATTCCCGCATGTGTGTGGAGCGCCTTTATGTGAGGCGCTGGGGGTTGGGTGTTTAGCGACAGGAAGTGCATGCTGGCCGCAGATCCCCCTTTCAAATCACAGCCACTTTGTTTGCAACGGCAACGGCTGCTATCTTACCGTCGCACAATGGATTGTGGCATTCTAATCTCAGCTGAACGGGCGAAGGGTGATACTAGCAAATCCTTCAGTCGAGATGACGCTGCCGTATTCAATTGACAACTCACCCGCGCGCGATGTGACAGTCTGCATGACAGTAGCTATGGCACGCTGGCGGACGCCATGTTGACCGGAGCATTACTAGACATTGCTAGATACCGAGGGCGTTCCTGAGAGCTATATTTGGCTGCACGGCATCTGGAAGCGAAGAGAAAAACACGATGCGCCATCCAATCATGGCGGCCCTGCATTCCGGCAGCCGGCAGGTCCGCCGCGTGAACGCAGCGTGGGCAGCCCAGGAAAAGCGACAAGCTCCACAGTAGTTCGTTCACGTCAGCGCGCGCTGACAATTTCCGCGCAACTCGGGGTCGGCTCAGGCCCAGGAGCCACGGCCAGCAGCATTATCCTCGTGTGTAGACTGTCAAGCCCGAGAGTTGGCCTGACCTGGGCGCCCGGCCAGCGTTTGATGAGCCACGGCCCAAAAGCAGTATAGCCTCCCACTTATCATTTGTTCCCTCTGCTGTAGCTCGCGCACGCTTACTTACTTTCCAATACTACGTTGCAGGCCTAGGCCGAATTCACGCCCACGGTACATGCGTGCTTCGTATTTCCATGACCGATCATCAGGTGTCGCTGGTGAGACGGCTCGTCAAGCGCACTGCGAATGATCTGCAGTACGAGGCGCGCGCGCTGTGGACAGTCGGGCGGTAAGGCGGAAGATGCAGGTCCCAGGTATAAGGATGACTGGCCGTCCTGCATGTCGGGATCTTTTTGTACAGCTCGCTCAACAATCACACCAAGCAACCGCATTCGCTTTTAGGTTGTTGTCCTTCGCTTTCCTGCTACTGTCAATCGGGATCTTAGTACCTTTTTAATACTTATACCTTAATCATGCGTACCTCAATCTTGTCCGCCACCTTGGCTGTTGTAGCCAGCGTTTCTGCGCTTCCATCTCCCCAGGAACTTCCCCTGACCAAGCTCATCAAGGCCCTACCCCTCAACATCTTCGCCGAGACACCAAAGTTCGTTCAGCCCGTTCCTCTCGCGGATGCCAAGCGGATATTCGAGGAGCACAATGCCACACAGCCAGAGGAGCCTGCTGCGCAAAACCAAAACTTCCGCGTCTCTACACTCGCTGCCGCTGCAACATGCGCCAACCCCCGCGTCCGCGTTGAGTGGGACTCCTACCCCGACAGCA